AAATATATTTTTAAAAGTATAACTTTATTAATATAGACAGGAAAAGAATAAAAATTATTACAAGTCTAATGCATTTTTTTTTCATAGATTTTGAAGAAGAAATTGCAATAAAATATAAGGCTAACAAAAACTTCTAAATTACCTACGAAGAAAAATCCACACACTTTCTTTTTCTTGAATCCTGAGTCATACTTGCTTGAAATGCTTGAATAATTATGCTCTTTGTTCATATAAAGTTAAGCTTGTCTGTAATTTTAAGGTCATTTTACCTGCTGCATGTGGCCCAAAACATTTTTTCGACAGTCAAATACTCCTTTTCCTTCTTCAGAATACAGCTGATAAATGAAGTCAGTTGTGTAGTTCTCATTGCAGTTCTCATTTCTGTAACAGTTAGGCCAGACAGAGTTAGCAAATTTCCTATTAAGTAGTGGAAGTCTTGACAACTACTGAATGACCAATGTTTCCCATTTTCTTGATATCAGTAACCATGGCTTAGATATTTTCATCAAATCATGTATGTTCACTTCCATGTAATTTGTTCATGATTTTGAAGTCTGCATTACTTTTACTACACTGACATCATTGGCAGGTCACCTAGAATCCCATTGTTGAATAATGTAGTGAAAAATATCATTTTAGGCCCGACAAGTTCATTATGAGGAAAAACTACATGAAAACCAAAAGTCATTGACATCCAGTATCATCATTTTGCCCTTTACAAAAGCATGGCTAATGAATGGTACCTTAGGCTGTTCCTTACCAATATTGTAAGCGTTGGATATTTTTTTACCCTAGTTATGCAACTAGTAGAACCTGAACAAATATAATGGTATCCTCATACAGCTTACTGTGGTATTCATTTTTCAGTCCTTTGCTACTTGGCAGACTGAAAATAAATGCTCAAGAAAGAGAGAAGCTCAGGCTGCCTAAGAAGGTACAATTTTAAAACATGCTAATCAACATATTTTAAAGGTTTTGATTTTTGAAAGGTATTTTAAGCTGTGTTCTCCTAAAATCTAAGAAGGATTTTTATAGTAAAGGCCATACTATATGTGTACACATGTATGCTAATTTTCACACTGTCAAGAAAGAATCTAAAAGACAAGACAAAGCCAATGAGAAAACAGGCTGAAAATAGGGTAAAATATTAGATTATAGAGCAAATATATTTCCACATAAAGAGGGAAGTTTTGGACTTGAGCTTCCAGACAGCTCCCAGAACTGCCTTCTGGAGCAACATCTTTACTAAAAATCTCACGCTAAAGGAATAACCAAGGAATATAGACTTAGAGCAGCTCTGCAAGTGGCCAGACAGCCTAGCCGGCTGGAGTTGCTTAGCATTACTGATGCCACCTGTTAAAACTACTTTTGCTTACCTCAGCACTAGACCACGCTGGATACTGGTTTTCATTTTTTCAGTCAAGTGTTCCACATTAGCCTACAAACAACAGAAGTATTTTTAACGAGCCATACACAATTCTAAAACAATTTTAGCAAGTCTACATATCCTGAGAACTTCTGTGAAGTATTCCACATAAAGTATTATGTGCAAATTCAAATAAATCAACAGGTTTTTGGAGATCCAGGATAACATACTGTGTATGGCTATTCATCTTGGGTTAAAACTAACTTCCTCCTCTAGATCATAAGTAATTGATTTTAATAGCAACACAAAGTTGTTTTTTGTATGCTATACTGGTATAGCACCAAGCTGGATAACCCCAAAATACATAAAAATACAGAAATTGCCACAAAAGATCATAGTTTGCCCTTTCTCCCAGTCCTTGCTACAGCCCTGTTATGGATACAGGGATGTACTGCAGTGCTGGTACTCCTACATATATGACATGAAGAGTACACACCACTGAGAAATGAGTGGGGAAGAATTACGATTCATTTTACTTCTCCTTTCAGGAAATTTCTTTTTAGCTTTGTATTTGTCCATGACCGCAGCTAGCGCCAACTACCTCAGAACTGTAAAATCCTCAGAGTAGCCAAGTTCCATATCAGCTTACACCCTAATCTGTAGCCCTCAAAGCCTGAGATCTTTATTTCCAAACATGCTCTGAATAGTTGAGGTATCAAAGTCAGTATCTAACTTACATACTGTCCAGTTCCTGACCTGAATAGCCTTCTAAAACAATAAGCTGAGGCAATATGATAATGGAAAAGGTTTTTCGTGGGCTTCTTTTTTTTTTTTTCTTCTCCCCCCCCATTTTTGTTCTTCTTTTAAAACTGCCCAGGTCTGTTCATTTACATGAATTTAAATTTCAGTCAGAAGAATAAAAATTAAACAATTAATGTAGTAGTGTTTAATGGCTAATACAATAATTTTGTCATTTAACTGAACCTGATGCCAAGAATAACTGGGTATATGCTCCTTTATATAATATGGCATAAGAACTGGCATTACGTCAAAGCACTACTGACAAGCACAGCTTTTAGATACAATCTGAACGTGTTTTTTTTCCCCCCTATTACTTGAGCAAACTACTGCATATATACACATTATGATATATATGTACAGTGATTTTAGGATCCACTTAAAAATGAGGAAAACATTTCTAATGCTGTATACCTGGAGTTCCCGAATATCAAACTGTTCTTCAAAGATATAAGCAGCATCAGCTCCTGCCGCAAGAGCCCCCATATTAGCCAGATAACCACAATAACCACCCATGGTCTCAATGATGAATACAAAAAAAAAACCACTGGCTGACTGTTTGATGCGATCACATGTCTAATCAAAAACAAGACATTTTAAGTTTAAATTAAAAAAAGTCTGAATTTTTATGTTTATGTCATGCAACTTTGTGTCACTTACTGGTAAAAGAATTTATAAAAAACACATCTTAAAAAATTCAAAAATAGCATAACCCATTTAACTATAATAACTACCAAATAAAGTAATTCTTATGAATCATACATTGAACACCACAGTCAAAATAAAACTTTTGCTACTATCAACTCATTTATTTGCTTTCTGCAAATACGAAAACAAGAATTCAGTTTGGTTTGTGCATGCAATTAAAAGTTGTGCTGGTTTTCTAAGAGAGACACAAATATATATAATGGAGCTTGTTAATCAGTTCTGGTATGAGTAAGTTTCTCTGCTTTGCTTTAACTCTATTCATTACTGAAGATGTTTATTTCTTAGTATTGATTTTAAAATTCACTGCATTCCCAACCATACTTAACAGTTACATTTAAACTTAAGTCCTGAGCATGTACTGCCCTATTGTTTATTTTCCAATAATGATATCCACATAAAGAGAATTCTTTCAAACACTACTGGAGCATTTCTTTAATGTTTTGGAATTTTTTTATTAATAGGTACATACTTACTATAAAAAGACTGCAATCTCCACTTGTATCTTACTCTGACCAGCATAAGGAATGTTCTCTACAAAGATCTGTTACTTACTGGCCGCTGATTTACAAGGGCATGTAGCAATAGGACAATAGGCAATGGCTTTAAACTGAAAGAACGCAGAGATAGATTAGCTATAAGGAAGAAATTCTTCACCATGAAGGTGGTGAGGCACTGGCACAGGTTGTCCAGAGAAGCTGTGGATGCCCCATCCCTGGAAGTGTTCAAGGCCAGGTTGGATGGGGCTTTGAGCAACCTGGTCTAGTGGAAGGTGTCCCTGCCCATGGCAGGGGGGTTGGTACTAGATGGTCTTTCAGGTCCCTTCTAACCAAACCATTCTATGGTTCTATGAACACCTGTATTTATCAGAGCTGCCTAAGAGACTTAGAAAATAACAGAGAAAATCTCCAGTGTGGTAGGATCTATGAAACTTAGGAAAACATAGGAACTTAGGAAAAAATAGAAACATAGGAACTAGGTTACTATGCATCTTCAGGTTTTAATAATACCTAAAAAGTTATACCACACTTGGTGACAAGAAGAATTTTGTAAAACTGATGTACTGTCCCTACACTACTTTAGTAAAAACGAGAAGTAAAAGTACCTGGGAAGTTCATCATCTTCAAACCTGAATTATGATAGAATCATAGAATCATTTGGGCTGGAAGGGACCCTTAGAGGTCATCTAGTCCAACCCCCCTGCGGTGAGCAGGGACATCTCCAACTAGATAAGGTTGCTCAGAGCCCCATCCAGTCTGACCTTGAATGCCTCCAGTGATGGGCCTTCCACCCCCTCTCTGCGCAACCTGTTCCAGTGCTTCACCACCCTCATTGTAAAAAATTTTTTCCTTATGTCAAGTCTAAATCTACCCTCTTTTAGTTTAAAACCATTACCCCTTGTCCTGTCACAGCAGACCCTGTTAAAAAGTCTGTCCCCATCTCTCATATAGGCCCCCTTCAGGTATTGGAAGGCCACAATGAGGTCACCTCGAAGCCTTCTCTTCTCCAGGCTGAACAACCCCAACTCTCTCAGCCTGTTTTCACAGAAGACATTAAAAAATCCCCATGCCTCACCGATTTTCTGAATGAGTAACTGCAGATGCTGTAATATTTGAGGTACTTCTGTTTCACAGATATTTACAACCAAAACCTTCATTCAGCTAACTGAAAATGATACTTCCAGCTGAAATTAAGACTGTGAGTAATATGGTGTTTAAAAATATACCTAACAGACCACAGAACAAATAATGAACTGATACGTGAGAAAACTTAGAATAATAAAAAAACTAGAACTTCTAATATAATAAGATTTCATGCACTGAAGGACTAAAACCAGTGCATGCATTTATTTAGGTCCAGCTACCAAAAGATACATATAATTTCATTTATACTTATTTATTTGCATATGTGCATGTTATGTGTGTACATACACAAACACATATATACATACACAAGCACAAAATCCACATGAATTTATTCAGAATATGGACTGACATTCTGTTATCCTAAGCAGAAAGTATCTCCATAACAAACTGCATCACAAAAGCCTACGTTGAACTTCAATCAGTTTTTCAAAATGAACCTTTCTTTTACCTGTCTTGGATTTTACAATGTCCTCAAGCACTTTACTTTCCCCTTCCAGATGTGGTTTCAGAAGAATTTTTGCAGAATACTGGCTTCTGGCATACTGGCACACTAACAAATCTATAAAACTCCCCATTACTTTTAATAGTGGCAGGTGCAGCACTGAATCAATTGTAACTCATTTTAAAATAAGCTGCCTGGAATTGGGTAGATACTATGTGTTTAGCTTATGTTATAAAAAAAAAATCTTGGCTTTAGGCAGTTTAGAAATAAATACACATGCAAATATTTCCTTCATTTTGAGAGACCTAAAACATCTGTAAACTCCAAGCTTTTTTAAAAGTTTTCCAGCTGCAGGTAGCAGATTGAAATTTTCTGCCATTGAGAAGCTCTAATTTCTAAGCAAGGATGTAAATCATCGGTTGCTTTTGGGATTACCCACTTAAGATTTATTTAGAAGGATTTCTATCCTTGATTATACAAGAGACACAGTAGAAACTTTCTACTATTCTTGTTCTCTCAGAATGACTGTAACAGAAATATGCAAATACAAAAACAGTACAGATGGATTTTAAAGAATCATTAATTCATATACTACTCGGAAAGGCCAAAGCTCGAATGCCTGATGCAGGTTTCAGAAGTTTTAAACATGAAGGCATGGTGACTCTTTTAGGAGTACTCCTTGGAATTCCAGTTGAGCTTTCGTATGAATTGATCCAGCTTCATGAAAAACATGCTATTCAAAACTTCACCAAATCAAGAGTTTATTGTCAGCATAAACTAAACATTCTAACCATAATTAAATTCAATAGGTAGAACCATTTTTGTTTTTTTACTGACAGCATTACTGAAAGCTGTACAAATTGCAATTAAAATTAATAACAGTGAAATAAGAGGAAGCAGCAATATATGCGATCGTTTTTTCCCCACTGTGTTTTAATGTTTTCACTTTTACAGGTACATCGCTATTAGAAGTGGCATCAGTCATAATGAGTAGGCTTAGCCTGACATTTATAAAAGTAGTTAAGGGGGAAGCAGCTAATGGAGTGGTGAAAGTACCTGTGTCCTGCCTATGAACATATCGCTACAGTTTACCCACACTATACCTTAGGTCATCTTCACCCCAGGGATGCTGTATTGCATCTCCCAAAGACCAAGCCATAATGTATTCTGACACAGCTCTTTCAATTATCTACTGGAGCTTTTTCACTATATATAAATAAGTAACACTGTATCAGAGCAGGAAAACAAACCTGCATTTCTCAAACCCCTTGATCTCTATTATGAAAGAATTGGCCAAGAATATCAGAATTAGTTATATGGATTGATAACGACGGGTTTGATAAAACCCAGAACTGTTCAGAGGTTTACTCATTTGTTTCCATTAGACCAACTCAGTTCCCTTTGCCGTGGCTCCAGACTCAAGAGGATCATAAAGTAGTTGAAGAGTTCATATAGCAGTTGTACCCAAGGGAAAAAGCTATGGCACATTAAAGTTAGAAAATTGATCGTTCAACTGAAATGGAAAACTTATTCATAGCAAGTTCTGGCCTCACACTGTTTAGTTAGCATCAGTAACAGACTTAACTGCTTATACTATGCATGCATTTATATGCACTTAATACATGTTAAGCCTGATGCAGCCTATAGGATTATTCATGTGTTTAGTGTTAACCATGTACTTAAAATGCTCTACTGCACTGAGATCAGTCATTAGCCCATGCAATAAATTTGGCATTTATTTATAACACATGTGCTTCCTTCTTTCACCTAAGTAATGCTGAGGAGCTTTGTAAGATAAAAAACAAAATCAAAGCAAGCAAAATATTTTATTCTAAGTAAAAGCAAATGCCCTAAGCACTAAATGCAGCAGTCTCGGATAACAAAACATAGTCCTCAAAAGTTAAACATGCAACATAGTCAATTTTTATAAGGTTAATTTTTAATCAGTCTTGGAAAACTTCTTAAACCATTAAAAAAATACAGTAACTGAATTATTTTAGAAAACTAGACATTTTAAGGTCTTTAAGTATCCTCATCTTATGCATTTTATTGTCTTAACTTTTAAAAGATATGCAGTCTTACCTCCACAATAGCATTCAAGGCAGTGTCAGCACCAATGCTAAAGTCTGTGCCTGGCACATTGTTGCTAATAGTAGCAGGCAACACACAAATAGGTATGCAAAACTCCTCAAAGCAGGAACGTGCCTCGTGTAGCTGCAGACAACTTTCATAGGCCTGAAGCAGTGGTACAAGTATGAGTGATACATTCCTTGTCTTTGGATTGCTCTGCTAATGACTCCTTGCATGTGATGGTAAATTTGGCTATCCGTTGGCCCAAGCAAATACAACTGGTGAGATTATTTGGGTGGGGGGACACATCCTGTACATACCACAACAGTGCACTGGGGTTGCATTGGCACAATGCTCTTTGAAGAGACGCAGAAGATTAGCGCAAGTTAATACAGAGTGAACGTGAAGTGTGCACAGCATAGAGGTCTGAAGCAGTTGGGCAGAAAAAGACAGCATAAAGGGAGACTGGAAATCATTCCACAAGAAACCACTTAAAGAACAAAGTTTGATACATGTTAAAGGAGTTTAGAAAGTTAACTAGTAAAACACCTACAATTTGAGGAAAATGCTTAAAGAAAGCTGCTTTTTTAAAAACTATGTTATCCTATAAAGTCAAGACACACATCTATTTCCACCAAGAAAAAGGAAAAAGAGTTTTGCCTATGCCTTCCAAGATTCTATCAACATCACACATCTGCCTCTATGCACATAGA